GGAGTCGTATGGTGGGTATATGGAAGTGACCGGATTACCATTATATTATTATGGGTTTATCAGGTCCTTCCTTGAGCCGATGATTTTTCGGCTATTTTTCTATGATGGTCTAGTGAGCTTGTAATTACGGGGCCGAGGTTATTATGGCTGCTCACTTCAGCGGATGTATATATATATGCATGTGCATTATTGTCGAGTTTGATATCTTTGTTGCATCATTTCACCATTGGCATGACATGACACGTATTTTATGATTGACGTAAATTAGACTTTATTTTAAAAGGTATGACATGACATATTTCACATTAGTTCTTAAAATGGATTTAATTCTAGACTCTTTTAAGAATAATATTTGGTTCAGGTATGCATGGCACCTCCGGGACAGGGGACATCTTGGGATATAGGAAGTCGGGTTGAGTGAGTAAACTTACATCTATTGTATTATATGTAAATTTCTAACCGGAAAAAGCTCTTGTTTAGGAGTATTTTTTGTAAATATTCTTAAATATGATTTTTTTTTTATAATAATAATGCGTTTTTATGGTTGATTCTAGCCTTAACACTGTATTGTGGGGCCTGAAGTAAGAGGTGATGACCTCGTGATGCAAAGTGGCGGTAGCATTTCCAGTATGAGCCAACTGGGGATGTTACAAGTTGGTATCAGAGCCTAGGTTTTGTAGATTTTGGCTCTTGGGATTAAAAATATTTTGAAAATAATAATGATATTGAATTGGTTTGGCGAGGTTTGGGTTTTGTGGGTGCATTCATCTTAATGTGGTTTATGCTTGGGATGAGTTCAAAGAAAAATTAAAAGTTAGGTTTATACCATCACATGTTTGAAAAGCAAAGATACAAGAGCTGCTGGACTTGAAGCAAGGTTCGATGTCAGTCGAGGACTATTTTATAAAGTTCAATCAGCTGAAGATGTATGTTCCTGACTACTTTTCCTGTGAGCGAGATAGAATTGATCATTTTGTAGATGGGTTGCAGCAGAGGATTCAAGAAGTTTTAGTTGTGTTGGATATCAGTTCGTTGTATGAGGCTTATGAGCGTGCTGCTCGATTATATCAAAAGCAGAAAGTCAGGCAGAAGAACAGTGAGAAGGAAATGGGGTAAAAACATCAGTGTCGAGATTAAGGAAAAACTAAGCTGGAGTATGAATCAAAGGGTAAAAATAATTTGTGGTAAATATTTAGGTCTGGGCCATCGTATAAGGGGATTTCGATTAATGAACCGAGTCAAGAGAGGTCTCAACAATCGGGAGTTATTTGTTGGCATTGTGGAACAAGTCATTAAGGTACCAATTGTGATAAAGTTTGATTGACATGTTTTAAGTGTGGTGGTTGATAAGAACCCCACATCAGAGGGTACCATTGAGCTTCCCATTGTTAAGTTTTCATTTCATGAATCATTAGGCAATAGATTTATATATATCCAAGTATGTCACATTGAATGTAAGCTCCAATTTTATTTGTGAAAAAGATAGAAAGAAGTTTGAGGTTGTGTATTAACTATCGTGGGCTAAATGAAGTCACGGTAAAGAACAAATATCCTCTTCCGAGGATTGACGATCTGTTTGATTAACTGAGCGGTGCAAGTATATTCTCAAAAATTGACTTGAAGTCTGGATATCATCAACTAAGGATTGCAGAGCATGATATTCCTAAGAAAAATTTTCGTACTAGATATTGTCATTATGAATTTACGATTATGTTCTTTGGGTTGACCAACACTCTGACTGCGTTTATGGAATTGATGAATCGAATTTTTCAACCATACCTTGATCATTTTGTGGTGGTATTTATCGATGATATCTTGGTATATTCCCCAAATAAAAAGACACATGCAAAACATTTGCGTGTGACACTAAAAACACTGCGTGCGAGAAAGTTATATGCCAAGTTATCCAAATGTGAGTTTTGGTTGAAAAATGTTGCTTTCTTGGGGCATGTAGTTTTTGGAAATGGTATCTCTGTAGATCCTTCTAAAGTTGCGGCAATCTCGGATTGGCTAAGACCTACCAATCAATCAGAAGTACAAGGTTTTTTGGGTTTGGTAGGGTATTACCAAAGATTCGTTCTTGATTTTTTTAAGGTTGCCAAGCCATTAACTAATTTTCTGAATGACACAAGGATTAATTGAGATCGTGAGTGTGAGTACTCCTTTGTAGAATTGAAATGTCGATTAACTTCAACACCAGTCTTGACTTTACCAGTAGAGGGTGAGGATTTTGAAGTTTATATTGATGTTTCAAAAAGGGGATTGGGATGTGTCTTAATGCAGAATCAAAGTTATTGCTTATGCATCACGGCAACTAAAACCTCACGAAGAGAATTATCCTACACATGACTTAGAGATGACAACAGTTGTGTTTGCTTTGAAGATTTGGAGGCACTATCTTTATGGTGCCCATTGTAGAATGTTTACTAACCATCAGAGTTTGAAATATATCTTCACCCAAAGATAATTATAATTTAAGACAAAGAAGATGGTTAGAATTGGTGAAGGATTATGATCTCAAAATTTTATATTATAAAGGCAAAACAAATGTTGTAGCTGATGCCTTGAGTAGGAAACCAAGGCATAAGTTGGGTTCTATGTCAGTTGCCGATGAACTGTGTCAACATTTAGCACGGATAGAAATTGAAGTACTTGGACGGGGCATGACACGAGGATATTTGCAAATAATGGAAGTTGAGCTTGAAATTTATGATCACATTAGAGCGGCTCAAATGGAAGATAATAAGATGGTCAAGCTAGCTATAAAAGTTCAATACGGTCAGACTCAAAACTTTAATATTGCTTCAGATAGGAGTCTTCGATTCCATGGGAGGTGGTGTATCCCAAAGGACCGAAGCGATTTGAATTAGTAAATTATGAGTGAGGCTCATAATACACCATATTCAGTGCATCTAGGAGGGATTAAAATGTATCAAGATTTACGTCAACGTTTTTGGTGGAAGGGCATGAAGAAGAATGTAGCAAAATTTGTTGCACAATGTTTAAACTGCCAAAATGTGGAAGCAGAACATCATAGACCAATGGTGTTGCTACAACCTTTAGAAATTCCACTCTGGAAATGAGACTCTATTGCAATGGATTTTGTGACAGGACTTCCAAGAGCGGAGTCGGGAATAGATGCAATTTGGGTGATTATAGATAGATTGACCAAGTCAGCAGTGTTCATCCCAGTACGTATGACTTGGAGTATACAGAAGTTGGCCAAATTATATGTTCATCATGTGGTTAAACGACACAATATTCCTGAGGTAATCATATCGAATTGTGATCCACATTTTTAATCTCGATTTTGGCAAAACTTGCAGGAAACATTTGGTACTTAGTTGCATATAGGTGCTGCGTTCCAGCCAATGACTGATGGCCAATCATAAAAAGCTATCCATATTTTGGAAGATATCTTAAGAGCTTGTGCATTAGAATTTCAAGGGAATTGGGAGGAGCACTTAAATTTAGTGGAATTCTCGTATAATAATAGTTATCAAACAAGTATTGGAATGGCTCCTCTTGAAGCTCTTTATGGCCGAAAATGCAGAACTTTTTTAAGTTGGGATGATATGAGTGATCGATTGATATTAGGTCCAGAAATGATTGAAGAATAAAAAAATATGATTCGAGTTATCAGAGAGAAGATGAAGACAACTCAAGATCGCCAAAAAAGTTATGTCTATAAAGGCCGACGTGAGGGTCAATTTCAAAGTGGAGATTTCGTCTTGGTGAAAGTACCTTCAATGAAAGGTATTATAAGGTTTGGAATTAAAGGAAAATTGAGTCCGTGTTATGTTGGACCCTACAAAATCATCGATCGAGTTGGGAATTTGGCTTATCGATTAGCACTTCCAAATTCTATTGAACGAATTCATAATGTGTTCCATGTATCACAACTTCGTAGGTATGTCGCAAATCCTTCTCATATTTTATCTCCGAATGAGTTAGAGTTAAATGAGGGTCTTTTGTATGAGGAAATGCCTCTTTGGATCATGGACACAAATGTTTGAACCATGAGGAACCGAGATATTCGTATGGTGAATGTAATGTGGTCCTAGCATGGAGCGGAAGAGGCCACGTGGGAAGTAGAACAAGAGATGTTCAAAGCATACCCACATTTGTTTAATTAAGTAGTGTTGTTATGCGTTTGAGTTTAGATTTCGGGGACGAAATCTTTTTAAGGAGGAGTGAATTGTAATGCCTCGATTTCAGAGTGTATAAAATAATAATATTATAGCAAATAAATATTTTTATAATATTTTAGGATCAAAAAATTAATATTCTATATTGATTATAATTATAGAGATTGTTAAACAGATAAATATCGATGAGGATAAATAGAAAATATAATATTTATATATTAATATAATAATAATGATGATAATAGAGATGGATGATGATAATGTAAGTAATAATAATAATAACGTTTAATAATATTAATAGTAATATAATAATAATAATAATAATAATAATATATAGTAAATAAATAAATTAACTTACCCATTTAGTTCGAGCAGAAGGAAGAACGCAAGGCAAAGAGAAGTAAAGAGGAAAGAAAGAAGAAAACAATGAAAGAAAAAGATATAGTCGTCCTATTTCAAATCTGATTTTGGTATTATTTTTCTTACTATACTTAGAGTTTAATTATAAATTTTAATATAAATTTAGATATTGGGGATATTAAATTATAAATTCTTCAAAAAATTATAATTGGCTAATTGGCTATTTAATCGACGAATTTATTTAGCTGATAGCCTATTCGTAGGTCCTAGTGTTATATTCTGAGAATTTTATATCGATCCAAATCATATTGAAAACGGCAGTGTACTACAACTGCCTGTTTATTCATATCTTTAAGTATTTTTATTTAATAATCGGACTATATAAATATTATGAGGTATAAGAGTTTTATAGTTTAGAATATCGTATTCTACTAAATATAAAAGTTTGAAACCCAACGAGCTAATTATACAAATTGACTTTTGAATAAGCAGGTAGCTCATATGAATAAGCATATAACTCATCCGATTTGAGTAAATAATGGGGCAGGTGTACGTTGGAAGAGATTTGGGTGAGATTACAAAAGTTAGGGAGTGTCAATAAGAGGTACGCAGTAGGAAATTAAATCTAATTTTAAGAAATTAGATATGCATGTTGCATGCGATTCTGATTAATATGCTAATGTGATATTATGTGAATCATTTTGTCAGTGCATGTATATCTATATATATATATGTGTGCATATGCATGTGTGAGACTTCGCATTTTATGATATTTGATATACGTATTTGATTGTGTTTGTGAATTTATGAAAAATGAGGAGAGGTGAGCTGTCTCACCAGCCATTTTCGGTAAATTCACTTATTTGACATACTGCACACATATTGCACGGTTTGTAGGATATATTTTATGGATCTATCATTTAGTTGCCGTGTGCGGTAGTGCTAGGCGAGGGCATCATCTAGGGTTAGGATATTCGACCCCGATGTACCGTAACACTTTGACGATAGTGGACGATAGTAGTCGGACAACTGCGTGATTTAGTCGCACGGTCATTCAGGGATTAGACCCATTGTAGTTGAGGCATATTTTGTCTAATCATTCGTGTTAGGTGTTGTTCCGCTCATTGGGCTGGCCACTGGTGAGGTCTACCGATAGTTTAGGATCATATGCCAAACTCCAAACGTGATCCCGTTAGGACGTGCGAGGAGGAGTAGATTTTCCGGGTTTCCCTTGGGTGATTTCAGGTTGCACGGATTCTACTACATTACACGGGATAGGGCTAGTCAGTGGGGGTCTTATCTTCGCTATCATAGACTATGGGGCGTCTTGTGGTTAATGGCGACAAGGTTCGGCTATCCATGTATCGATTGTGGGAGTCGTATGGTGGGTATATGAAAGTGACCGGATGACCGTTATATTATTATGGGTTATTCTGGCTGCTCACTTCGGCGGATGTATATATATATATGCATGTGCATTTTTGTTGAGTTTGATATCTTTGTTGCATCATTTCACTATTGGCATGACATGACACGTATTTTATGATTGACGGAAATTAGAATTTATCGTAAAAGGTATGACATGACATATTTCACGTTAGTTCTTAAATTGGTTTTAACTCTAGACTACTTTTAAGAAAAATATTTGGTTCAGGTATGCATGGCACCTCCGGACAGGGGACGTCTTGGGATATAGGAAGTCGGGCTGAGTGAGTGAACATATATCTATTGTATTATATGTAAATTTTTAACCGGAAAAAGCTCTTGTTTATGAGTATATTTTGTAAATATTCTTAAGGTAAAACTGCCTATATCCCCCATGTGGTTTGTAAACTCAGCGCCATTCCCCTATGTACTTTAAAAATTGCGTCATTCTCCCATGTGTTTTCAGAAATGTTGTGTGTAACCCCCCATACGTTAAAGATAACGGAGGCTGGTATGCACGCGCGAATTAAGCGAGTATTATTAGGATTGTTTCTCTTAAAGTACCCAAATTACCTAATCTACCATTATTACTCTCATTAAGTTGTAACATTCCCTCTCCATCGATCTCCCACCAACGAAGCAAACCAGGTCCCAAATCTCATCCTTGACGTCGCTTAGCCACGGATTTCAAATCTCCATGTACGGGTTTCCATTGAAAACTTGATGTTTTTGTTTTTGCCTCCTTTCTTGGCTTCATTTTTCTCTTCATTTTGGGGATCACCATCGAACATGAATAAAAAGCATAACAAATGTACAAGTTTAAACCCCAAATCCACCTCTATGACAAATTGAAGAACTTCTCAACCCGAAATTGCCATAGTCCGTGAAAACAAAGGCAAAATGCAGAAAAGACCTAACCCATGAAAAAAAAAAAAAAATTGAGGTAGAAGATAACCCAAAAAATCAAGGTAGAAGATAACCCAAAAAATCAGACCTGGAGTTTCTTTTCTCGTAAATGGAGGAACGACGATTTGGGGGTGATGGTGGGGGAGAGATGTCGATGGGGAGGGGTAGGAGAGAAGTGAGAGAGAACAGTTAGGTGAGTTATTTAAATAAAGGGTATAACGATCCATTACATATAAATTTAACACCGTGAGGTTAAATTGATCAATGGGGAGAGTGTGCAACGTTTCTGAAAACACAAGGGAGAATCACGCAGTTTTTAAAGTATAGGGGGGAATGGCGCCGAGTTTCCAAACTACAGGGGGGATATAGGCAGTTTTTCCTATTCTTAAATATAATTTTGTTGCATAATAATGCGTTTTTTTGGTTGATTCTAGCCTTAACATTGTATTGTGGAGCCCGAAGTAGAAGGTGACGACCTCATGATGCAGTGTGGCGGTAGCATTTCCACTATGAGCCAACTGGGGGTGTTACAGATGATGGCGGGCAGCGCAGTGGTGTGGGCGGCTTGAGCTGCTAAGCGATAAACGCACCCTAAGCGGCTTGTGTCTTTTCCACCTTAGCGAGGTGCGCTTGTAGTCCAACCATCCTCTGCTAAATGTTGTTGAGTGTCCTCACGAGCTGATCTTCAGTAGCTGTCAAGACATGGGGAACAACGGTTGGGACTATAGTGGGGATTTGGAACGGCACCTCTTGAAATGATGCAGATGTGACAGAGTTAGAGGAGGTCCCAACGATAGTCTGGAAAGTTGGGACGAAAGTAGAGGGAGTAGCGGTATTTCCTTGGTTTGCCATGATCCTTTCTCTTGTAAGTTCTCTAAACAGATGTCTCTGCGAACGAGAAGAAGGAGTTGGACTGGTAGAACGCTGAAAACGTTCGGACCCCTACACAAGGATAGCCACACCAAATGAAAAAGTCAGAAATACAATAATAAAACATAAAATAGCAAGACCGAATTTAAAGGTAAATTATGGCGCATCACTAGATCTTTCCAAGATTTAATTTCTTGAGTTTAAAATCCCTGGAAACGGCACCAAATTATGACACGCACGATTTTATATATTCAAATACAGGGAATTTTGGTTGAAAATTAAGACATAATGGATTATTGTGAGCAATCAGATATAAAAAAAAGTTTGTAGTTTTAGACCCCGAATTGTTTATCATAATTGTTTATACTCTTTGACCGGTGAGTTTTCAGGTCAAACACAGGGATTTTAAGTCACGAAGTCAAATCTAAACAATATTAATCTTGTGAAAACGACGATAAAGCAGTAAAGAGACCCGCTCAAAAGCGAGTCTAAATTTAAAAACTAGAGAAAGCTGAAAAATAATAATAATTAAGAAAGCAGTAAGAGTGAGCAGAGGTGAGCGGAGCGATGATAGCGGAGGTGGTGCCAACAGTGGGTGAGCGATAGGGACATGAGCAAGAAGACACTGTATATTTATAGAGATTGAGCGGAGAAGGGTGGTAAAGTGGTGTTGTCTCTGATTTGTGAGTCTGATTTGTGCGTTTCTTAATGACTAGATTGTCCTGGATGAAATGAGCGAATGATGCTGGTGTTTAATCGAAACATATATGTATAATACGAAAATGACAGAAGGGAGTAAGGTAATTATATAAACCAAATCATAAGGAACTTAGATCGCTAATACTTGACCTTAAAGGAGTTATAACAAGACTTCAATGACGCCCATAATTAGAATATTATAAGAAAGAAACCCTACTCTCACTAGGAGATTCTGTGACCCAGTAGACCACCGCCTATGCCCCATTAATTATTCCAATTTATGTCTCATTAGTGGCTTTACCCTTCTGTTACCTCTTTTTAATCAAAATCGAATTTAGATCAGTAATTAAGCATGTTGACAAGGCTCTCGCGTACTTTTTTATTACATTAATTAATAATGATAATGACTAAACACGTGTTGCACTTCTATTTATTAGACTGAATAAATTGGGTAGAATTTGGACTGACGATTACAAGCCTTCCTCCCCCCATGTATTTGGACCTATTATTGTAGATACAAGAATTTAGGTGAAGTATAATTAGTAAGTAATTAAGAAGTGTATTAGTAAAAAGGCAAAATTACCCATAACTTCCGTGTGGTTTCGACACTCAGCGTAAATCCCCCATTTACTTTGAAAATTGCATGAAGCTCCCTTATACTTTAAAAATGTTGCATGAAATCCTTCTGTAGTTTTGAATCTCAACGTAAATCTCCACGTTACTTTAAAAAATTGCATGACACCCCTTTATACTTTTAAAACTATTGCATAGAACTCCCCCAACATGCAAAATATATAGATAGAAAATCATCTTTTCATCATACACGAGAGGTTTCAAGGTGGTGGTGTTTCATGTAATAGTTTTGAAAGTATAAGGGGGTGCCATGCAATTTTTAAAGTAGACGGATGAATTTCGAAATCACATAGGAGTTAGGAATTTTGCCTAGTAAAAATAATTATTATTTAGTAAAAATAATTATATATTAAAATAAATAGTTTAATTAAGATTAATTAAAATGTATAATTATATTAAAAAAAAGTAAAATGACAAATTACGTGAGACTAATGAAAATAGAAAATATAAACAAATTATATGGGATACTGGCACGGAGTAGATACGATTTGGCATATGTATATACTAAAGATTGGGTGACGAGGTGAATTAAAAGAGGTGATGTGACTTGATGTGATGTGATGATGAAGTTAAAACAAAGGCAGTAGGAGAGAGAGCTGTAGAGGCACCGATCGAGCTTGGTCGAGTCTGCATGGCTTTGAACTGTTGTTTTTGTGCCCGTGCCCTAGCGGAAGGAAACTTCACAAGTCTAGTGGCTTATATTTATTCATTCACACATCCAATCCAGTTTCAGAGATGAATGATTTTTACTTAATATAGATACAATGCATATATAAAGTAGCCTAATTTTCAGGTAATTCGCAACACCTCCCCCCAGTTTCTCCTCCCAATCAGGGTTAATCAATGCAGTCACCATTTCTTTCATTTTCCCATTCTCTTTCAGATTGTTTAATTCGAAGAAACGAAATGAAACCAGCGGAGATCTAATCTAATGCTGGAGTTAGTTTCAGAAGGATTTGAAGAAATCTTCACGATCAGAACTCGGTCGCGGTATCTCTCGTTGCCCTAATCCGGATCAGAACACAGATCCTCCGCCGGTACGGTACGTACGTCAATCGCTGCGAGTGAGTTAGCATTCGCTTTTCTGCATCGGTTTATAAGAATTATTTCTATGTTGTACGTTAAATTTTATTTGCCATCTTTATATGCTTTACTCGTGATTTTTCCGTTTCTGTGTCGTGGATTTCGAAGAGATGCCCACCTGTGTTGGAGCTTTCTCCACCTTTTCCGTTTTAGTTTGTTTTCATACTGACCATTGTAAAATGGTTGAGATGAAGTGTAGTGGGTTCGGTTCTGTAGCAATGGCAGATCTGTGTAGGGCATTTGATCAATATGTCAATTTTCAAGCACATCGAAGGCTGTGGTGGGGATGATTTTAACTATGATTGCTAATCTTTTTCTGGAGAGTGAAGAACAGATACCACTGTAAATTAGCTAAGGGGTTAATAAATGCATATCTGTTGAGTAGGGAAATGTTATGAGGATGGTGAAGCCATTCGGTTTTGGTTTTCTTGCTTCTATCGAGGTATTTATTGTGATTTATTTTCAAGAGTAGTGCTAGGGAGCAATATGGGTGATAAACAAACATGCATTGTTTTTACAATAATGTCAAGCCACAATGCCCGCCCTGGATTCTATAAACAGGAATGGTTTTAACTTGAGTTATTATGGCTGTTTGTATAAGCTTTAGAGAAGAATTGTGAGTTCCCTCTACATTAGATGATTATGAAGTTCTAGGGGCGGGGCATAAAACACAGATGATCAGAAAAACCAGGCTATTCAATTCTATTCATCGATCCTATTTTTCTAAGGTAGCTAATATTATCTTCGGTTTTAAAGCTTAAGGTATGTGATATAACTTATCTTAATATTTTGAATGAAATTTGTCTTTTGATATTGATAGACATATATAAAACCCGGGAGTACTCCTCGGGTTGGGTATATGATGCATATATATATTGTGAAAGTAGAAATTGTCTTATAATGTGATATATTGTAAGCATAAGAGCCAAGTGAAGAAAGAATTGGGAAAAATAGATCCAAGAATGCTGATGTGCTTGGATTTATGTAACCATAGTTCTGTAATAGTTATTAACTGATGACATGAATTTAATCTTTTCAGGGTTAATCCATTGCACGACATCACTGGTAGTGTAGTTCAGCCAGCTTGAGTACATTTTCTGTGCTTTAATCTCCTTTAACACTGCAATGGCTTCTACTTTGCCTTCAAGCAAGAAATTGCAGGCTGCTCTTGTGTGGTTGGTTCTCTCATTGCAATCATGCAGTGGCTTTTACTTACCTGGTAGCTACATGCACACGTATTCGAATGGCGACGAAATATATGCCAAAGTAAATTCCTTGACCTCCATTGAAACTGAGCTTCCATACAGTTACTACAGCCTCTCTTACTGCAAACCCAATGGGGGCATCAAGAAAAGTGCAGAAAATCTGGGGGAGCTTTTGATGGGAGATCAAATCGACAATTCTCCATACCGGTTCCGGATGAACATAAATGAGACCGTATACTTGTGTACAACTCCTCCATTGGGTGAAGAAGATGTCAAGCTTTTGAAACAGAGGACCAAGGACATGTATCAGGTGAATATGATTCTTGACAATCTGCCCGCCATGAGATTTACGACCCAAAACGGTGTTAAAATTCAGTGGACAGGATATCCAGTTGGATACACTCCTGCCAACGGTAACGACGATTACATCATCAATCATCTCAAGTTTAGGGTGCTGATCCACGAGTATGAGGGTGCTGGTGTGGAGATTATTGGCACAGGGGAGGAAGGGATGGGCATTGTTTCGGAGGTTGATAAGAAGAAGGCTTCAGGTTATGAAATAGTTGGCTTCGAAGTTGATCCCTGCAGCATGAAATTTGATCCCAATCACATGACCAAGCTCCACATGTACGATAATGTCACCGTGGGCACCTGCCCGCAGGAGCTTGACAAGTTCCAGATTATTAAGGAGCAGGAGCGGGTGTCATTCACGTATTCGGTGGAGTTTGTGAAGAGCAACGTTAGGTGGCCTTCCCGGTGGGATGCCTATCTGAAGATGGAAGGCGACCGCGTGCACTGGTTCTCCATCCTCAACTCATTGATGGTGATATTCTTCTTGGCAGGGATTGTTTTCATCATATTCTTGAGGACGGTAAGACGGGACTTGACGAGGTACGAAGAGCTGGACAAAGAAGCTCAGGCCCAGATGAACGAGGAGCTGTCCGGATGGAAGCTGGTGGCAGGGGATGTGTTCCGAGAACCATTCCACCCGAAGCTACTGTGTGTAATGGTCGGAGATGGAGTCCAGATTACCGGAATGGCAGTGGTGACTATCATATTTGCCGCTCTCGGTTTCATGTCGCCGGCTTCGAGAGGAATGCTGCTGACAGGGATGATCATGCTCTATCTTTTCTTAGGAGTTGCTGCTGGGTATGCCGGCGTAAGGCTCTGGAGGACTATCAAGGATACATCAGAGGGATGGCGATCACTTTCTTGGGCGATTGCATGCTTCTTCCCGGGAATCGCATTCGTAATCCTCACAGCCTTAAACTTTCTTCTTTGGGGAAGCAAGAGCACAGGGGCACTTCCCATATCATTATACTTCCAGCTCTTGTCCCTCTGGTTCTGCATTTCTGTCCCGCTAACGCTCTTCGGGGGGTTCTTGGGGACCCGGGCTGAGCACATCCAATACCCGGTGAGGACGAACCAGATTCCCCGGGAGATTCCGGAGCGGAAATGCCCGTCGTGGGTGCTTGTTCTTGGAGCAGGAACTCTTCCATTTGGAACCCTCTTCATCGAGCTGTTCTTCATCCTGTCGAGTATCTGGCTGGGAAGATTCTACTACGTGTTCGGGTTCCTGCTGATCGTGTTCTTGCTGTTGGTTATAGTGTGCATCGAGGTGTCGGTGGTACTGACTTACATGCATCTGTGTATAGAGGACTGGATGTGGTGGTGGAAAGCGTTCTTCTCGTCGGGGTCGGTTGCTGTTTACGTGTTCTTGTATTCCATACATTACTTAGTGTTCGACCTCCGGAGCCTGAGCGGGCCGCTGTCAGCTACACTCTATCTGGGCTACTCGCTGCTCATGGCTGTGGCCATCATGCTCTCCACGGGGACTATAGGTTTGCTGGCTTCATTCTACTTCGTGCACTACCTCTTCTCCTCCGTTAAAATCGACTGACTGACTCACTAACAGACGAAAGACCAGGCCAGACCAGACCAGACCATTTTCTCTCTAGTGTTTTTTTGAATTTTTACTTGTTTTGGAATGGAATATAATGATGGGTAGATCGATACATAGATAGATAGATAGATAGATAGCAAATACATTTGTTTTGATTTGATTTGAATTGATGTCGTGTAGTAGTAATGAGTATCTGTTGTGTTGTGTTAATGAGTGAGGGATTGAGTTGTGTTTGTAATGAGACAGACAGACAGACAGACAGACACGACAGGACTGCCGAAGCCGATAGAATAAGTACCAACCCAACCCAACCCGACGCAACCAAACCAACACAAGAGAAGAGGGAGAGGCTATGATAGTATCTATCTCAACTGTTGTATTTTGTTCTCCTCTCACCATTTAATACACACCATTTTTACTTTTCTTCTTCTTTTTTTATTTTTTTATTTATTTATTTATTTATTATTATATGGGAATCTGCAGTCGCTATCCGAGAGTACGTACTGTGTAAATTTTCAATCGAACCTAATACCTTATACTTTATACAAATATTGTGCCATTAGTATGGGTTAAAAAACCTCGATTTCATTTTCTCTGGTCCTCTGTTTCAACCAGTTAAATTTTGACATCTTTGCTCATATGAAATGAACACCACATATAATATTTTTTACATTTTAAAATATTTTTTATTAAAATTTATAAATAAATTCACTCTCTCTCCACAGTACTGTCTTTTCAGACTCCAGATTAACACAACATTCAAATTCAACACCAAAAATTGTGTCGTTGCAACTTGATCTCTCCATCTGACAATGGACAAATTCATACTCTCTTTTATTAATTCTATTTCATAAGAGAGTGTACATCTCAATTTTCTTTACATGTTTCAATATCTTTTGATTGTGTGATTTATCTATTGGACCGACTTTTGTCTTTGATTTTATTTGAGCAATATAATAATTTTTACTGTTACAATATCACAAATTTATATATTGCAGATAAATTTTGATATATTTTTTTTTTGGATAATGACTATAAATGAAAAGAAAATTTCTTTTAAATAGTATACTATCTTTTAAAATTTTTTTGATTTTCTTCTAGAAAAATATAAACTCAATCAATTGAGTTTTATAGCAGTGTCTTTGAGCTTATAATAATAATGATAAAAAATACACATTTTTGTTTACAAATTGATAAAAATATCATTTGTTGGTATTTTGCATGAAATTTAGGATCTACTAAAAACTACTCCCTCCGTCCAATGTAACATGAGTGTATTACGGTAGACGCGAAAATTTAGGTAAAATATAATTAGAAAGTAATTAAAAAACATATTAGTAAAAATAATTATTATTTAGTAAGAATAATTATAGATTAAGATTAAGGTAAGTAAATTGTTTAATTAAAATTAAAAAAATTATAAAATTTAAAATTTAAATTGCGATTAAAGTGCATAATTATATTTCAAAAAATAGAAAGTACAAGTTATGTGGGACGAACGAAAATAGAAAATAGGAACAAATTACGTGGGACGGAGGGAGTATAATATGATCAAGTTATTGCAGCGGTGCTAATCTACTCAATACAACAACACAACTATTATGGAATATGAAAGAGACCATACAAATCAAGTTTTTTTATTTTTTTATTTAATACTTTGAAAAAATAATTTTTTTTATAATAAAATTTAATGTTTTTTTTAATAGGAAATTTATGTAAATAATAAGGTGAGCATTCGGTCGGTTCAGTTCGAACTTTGAATTTTGATCGATTTTCGGTTTGTAAAAATAAAAAGTGAAACCGAACCAAAATTTGTAAAACCAAACTAAACCGAACCAAATTAATTCAGTTCAGTTCGGAATAAAACCAAACAAACCGAATTTTTTGAAAAAATTATGGTGATGCTCGAACTCATTCGTTCAATTTATTTTCCATCGCTAATGCAAATTCATTTTCACCAATTATATGTTTCCAACAACTTACAAATGGATCAAATACTGAAATACAAATATTTAAAATTCCAAATTATAATATATATAAAATATAAAATTTATTTTATCTAAAATTCAAATTTTTCAGTTTTTTTGGTTTGAAAATTGAAAACCATAACCGAAATCAAATCCAAATTTATAGATTTAATTTTAGACCGAACCGAACCAATGAACCGAATAGACCAAACCGATATGTCCGATCCAAAAAAGAATTTGATTTTTTCTTTTGGACCGACCAATGCTCACCCTAGTAACTAATGAAGAAAGTGATGATCAAAATACTATCGGCAGTTCAGTTTCTCAAGATTTTAATTGTAATGATTCACTTCATAATTCTATTCTAAATAAAAGATTCCCTAAATAGGTATGAAATTTGATAATGAAACTTTGGTCGGTGAGTTTTATTCTGCATATGCTAAAACAATTGGGTTTGGTGTTACAAAAGCACTCAACATAAAAAATTGCAAACTTGTCGATAGAACATTTTGTTGTTGTGTTCAAGGTAAACAAATACCCGATAAACGAGATGTTAACGTGAAAAATCAACGTGCTGAGCGGATGAAACTGACATGTTTATATCACACAAAAAAATAACTGAAAGTCATGCTATTGAAATTGAAATAGCATATAAATATAGATATTCCACTAAAAGCATCTCATGATTATATGATTAAGCGAGCAGACGGACGAGATAATTTAGGATTTACTTCACAATATTATAGAAATTATTTGCGATCAAAGAGAACTAGAGATATGAAAATTGGAGATAGTGGTGGAGTTCTTGAATATTTAGAAGAAATGCATGTCAAAAACTCAGATTTTTTCCATTCAAATTAAGTTGACGAGGATGATCAATAACTAATATTTTTTGGATAGATTAGACTTGCCCAAACGGTTCAAACCGCCGGTTACGGTTACAAACTGCCGGTTACGGTTTGCCAGAATTTCAAACCAAAACCGAACCGTCCGAATGACGATTTCGGTTACGGTTTGACGGTTTTGATTACGGTTTATAAACCGATGGTTTCGGTTTAAAAACCGCCGGTTACGGTTTGAACTGCCGGTTTATATACTTCTTTTTCCGATTTTTTCTTAATATTAACTTTTACGATAAATTTTGATTCCAATTTTAATTTACTAAATCTTTTTATTTTTGTGAAAAATTATATAAATAATACTTCGTTTTTATAAAATAATTATTTATCAATTTATTAATTATGAATTAAGAATACATTTATAATTTATACAATTATTTAATAAGTTAATTTTTAAATTAAATCACACTATTGAAAATTAAAATTTATTTTGTTTAAGATTAAGATTATTTTTTATTTAATTTACATTAGAATTTAAACTTATAAATTATTTAATTAGATAATCCAAACTCCAAAATTATTGACTTTTTAAATATTTATTTGATTTTATTATTTATTTTTACAATTTTAGAAAAAAACAATTTTTTTTTTTAAAAATTATTTCAAATTTTAAGTAAACAAAAAAATATTTAAATAACTATTTTATAAAAAAATATGTAAATATAAATATATAAATAATAATTATTCAAAATTGTTTAAGTATTTTAAAAAACAATTCAATTTTTATAATTCTTATCACTTTAGTCCTTATGTTATTAATACTATTATAAATTTTAGAAGAATTATTTATGTAAAGTGTAAACAGTTAAATTATCTAAGTGATAATTTAGATTTTCGATTACAAAATTTTACGGTTTTTTTTTTTTTGTTCTTTTTTTACTTATGATTATGATTTTATATATGCTCCTATAATACTATGTTAGTAAATATTTTATTTAAGAAATTAAATTTTGTTTAATTAAGAGGGCTTGGACATAATTTTAAATTTCTAATTTAGATTTATCTAATTTAAACTTAAGAAATCTAATTTAGAAGTTTAAATTTATGTTGCCTACGTATCCGATTGGAATCAAAGCCCACTTAGTTCTTTTAAGTTTTAAATATTATATACTAATATACATATACATAAAGTTAATAAATTTTAATCATCAGTTTCGGTTATATTTTGAAGATCATCACTTCAATCCGTATTATTAGATTCATATTGACTTTTATCTTCAGCTTTTACCCAATCATCAAGCAAATATTGATTTTTTAAGTGTTCAACAGTTAATTTAGAACGTCTAGCACTTAATGTATGACCACCCATACTAAAAGCTTGTTCGAGGGCTACAGTTGACACAGGACAAACAAGTATTTCTTTTGCAATTAATGTCATTATTTTATAAGTAGATGCTCTTTTAGACCACCATTTTAAAATATCAAATTCTTCTAATTCACTTTCACTATATTCAAAAGTTGTTGTAAAATAAGTTTCTAATTCTAAATATGGGTTTGAAATTTCGTTAGAACATTTACGTTCTCTTACATTATAAAAATCATAAAAGAGTGAAACTTGTGAAGGTTGAAATAAACTATCACTACAAGAAACATTAGAACTAGTATCTATATTGTGGTTAGGATAAATTCTACAAGTATCAAATTGTTGTTTATATTCTCTATAAATATCCATTAAAAGTTGTTTTGTACCTTATGCAATTGAAGTAGGGTTAGGGGTTTCATTATCTTTTTCAGGAAATAATGAGTCGTAATAAAATGTTAGCAATTGTTCTACTCCATCTAATCTTACTCTAGGATCAAGTATTTTAGCAACTAAGAATATATTAGGTAAATATAAAAAATATTTAAACCATTTAAGTTTCATAGAAGCAATAATGAAGCAAACTATTTGAAGATTCCTTTAATATTAAAGCAATTTTAACACAATGATCTATAGCCAATTTAGAAGTAGGATAATAAACACCAGATTAAAACTTGTAATATTTCACACAAATTTGAACATGAATCCCATTGTTGTGGAAATAAAGTAAAACCACATTCACATGCTTTTCGAAAAAATCACATAGTGCATTTCTATATTCATATGAACCACGTAGCATTTTATAAGTAGAATTCCATCAAGTTGAAACATCAAGTGAAATTTTTTTTGGTTGTAAATTATTTTGTCTACAATATCTTTTCCATCGTTTTAATAATGAGGCATGTCTTACTAGATAAGAAATTGCTTGTTTAATAGGATGTACATGCTCTTTCAAACAAGATAAACCATCTTGAACACATAAATTTAAAATATGACAAAAATATCTAATATGAAAAAATTTATCACCAATTGATGGTTGACAATATTCAATAAGAGAATTTAAACTAGCCGTATTAGCACTTGCATTATCAAATGAAATTGAAAAAAATTTTGTAAGTAAATTATATTCTTGCAAAATAGATCCTATCTTGTGAGAAATATTTGTTGCGGTGTGTTCTACATCAAATTCTCTATATGCAATTAAACGTTTTTGTAATGTCCATGAGTTATCAATCCAATGACATGTAATGCCCATATA